TTTTAGAGCACTTTGTTATTTTGGTAAGTGAGAATTGTACATCATTTAAAATTGCCATCATCGATTTGATTCATTTTTTTTCTCTTTATGAAGAGCATGAGTTTATAGTCTGCCCCTTTGCTGACATAGATATTGTTTTAAAAAAATTACTTTAACTTGTCTGACTTGGGACCTGGTTTAATAAATTATGGTACATCTACAAGCAAGAATAATCTATAGCCAATAAAAGTCAGGATTTACAAGGATATTTAATCATATGGGAAAATGTTCATGAGGTATTGTTAAGCATTTGAAGCTTAAAATTTAACCTTAAAAAGGTTAAAAATGGAATGCCTAATAGGATCTTGAGTTTGGGAAAAACAGATATGCAGAGCAAGGACCAAAATAAAATAAAAATTATAATAGTGCTTGTCCTTGGGGGATGGAATTACAACTTATTTTAAAAAATTATTTATGGGGCTGGGGTTATGGCTTGGCGGTAGAGTGCTCGCCTCACACGTGCGAGGCCCTGGGTTCAATCCTCAGCACCACATAAATATAAATAAGTAAAATACAGATATGTGTTCAATTACAACTAAAAAAATAAATATTAAAAAAATTATTTATAATTTACAAATATAGATTTTTTTTCCTGCAAAGAACATGTAGGGCTTTCATAACGAGAGAACATAGCTTATTATTAAAATTATCTTGGTTATTTTCTTAGGCTTCCTGGCTATCTGAGACTCATTTTTAAAAATCGATCTTAAACACAGAGAGGATCTACAGAGAAATTCCAGTGAGCTCCCTAGATTGCTGGTATCCTCCTGATACTACCAGGGAGGTGGGCCAGTCCCTCCTTTCTTTCTCCCACTGGGTTTCAGTGTTTTAGGAAGGTCCCTCATTGACATCAAGGGCAAACCTCCACACACGGGGGTCTGACCGTCTGGATTTGCCGGCACTGGTTAGGTCCAGCTCTGGGAGTCTGCCCATCTCTTTAGGGCCCACCCTTGTGGGACTAGTGGGAAGCTCACGGGGGCTTGAAAGGGTACAAGGGAGAAGCCTTGTAAAAATTCAGGGGAGGATAGGGCCCCACTCAAAGTGTGGGATTCTCAGAAAGGCTCAAGTCCCAGAGAGATGTGTTACCAGGAGGAATGATGAAGCAGATCTTTTAGCTGCAATTAAGGTGAGCCAGGTCTAAGGGAGAATGGAGCCCCTCAAGAGACTCTGGGCGCATCCAGGAAGGGAAGAAAATGCACATTCCCCAAGTGCCCACGAGGTGGCAGACTCTTTCCTGCCCAGAGAATTCTCAAGCTCTTCCTGATACAGGGGTCTTAAGAGTCACAGGAGGGCCAAGCTCCTCTTTGGAGCTTGGAATACAGATTCTCATTCCTAACAAGCTGCAGGTGCTAGTGCCACTGATGGGTGGACCACACTTTGAACACTGAACACGTCATCTCAGATTCTGGGAATGGAGGAGGCGATCAATGGGTAGGATGTGGTCCTTCCTTGTGCAGGGAGATCAGCTCAAATTGTGACAAACTGCAAGGAGATGTGGCATGGAAACAGAGGGAGAGTGTGGGTGGGTAGAGGTGGAGTGGGGAAGGGAAGGGTGGTTGGCTTCTGGTTGGATACTAGAGTGGATTTGGATGGTGGGCTCTCATTCTAGTCAAATGTGTTAATTAGTAATGTGTTAATTAGTAAGATTGCGGCAGATAAAGAGCACAGGTAGCAAATTGAAATAAAAGCAGTATTCAGAGCAAAGTGAAAAAATAAATATTAGATACATACCAAAAATAAGCCCAAAGGAAAAAAGTGCTATAATCATAAATCAATGGTTTGTAAACGATTTGAAATGAAAGACCATTAAAAAAAAAACCTGGTCTATTATGGACTAATACGTGGTTCTGCTGCATAAGACTTTTGCATAGCTCTGGCCATACATGACTGACCAACACCCAACTGCTCTGTACCCTGCTTACCAAGATGAATCCACTGATGATGCGTTTGGATGTGGATGGCAATACTAAAAATGCTAGAAGAGTTCCTAAAGCTCCCTCTTGGTTCTGTACTTACATCAGTGAAGAGTAGAAATCAACAATTTGCAAGAAGAGTGGCAGTCCACAAGTCACTCTCAGCCTGGCTGGGTTACTGGTTTGGGAGATGGGTTTATGCAACCTCAAGCAGTTAATTTATTATTTTGGATCCTATACCATAGACTTATCTTTTTGTGTTGGTCATGTCCATTTGGTTATTATCAATTACATTCAGGGTTCTTGGAATGGGGTTAGTTGGGTGTCCTTTTGGCCCTACTACCATTTTTTTTTTCATGCTTGGATATCAAGGCCAATATCCTGCACATAGTAGGCCCTCAATGAACACTGAAGAATGAATGCATGGAATAGCAGCCCAGGAATGAGATATCAAGGGTGCTCTGAGGTAGGACAGCCAGTCAGGAAATAAATGCCCAGCATAAAYGGGCATCAAGTAGCACTTTCCTTGCACTGACTATGTAGATGCAGCAGATAATCAGAGCAGATGGAGGAAGGCCTTGTCCAAAGAGAAAAGACAGACGAATCACTTTGCTTTCCTGGCTTCTCTAGTGCATCACTAAATACAACACAAAAAGATAAGTCTATGGTCTAGGATCCAAAATAATAAATGAGCAAAGTTTAGTTTGTAAGATTCTTGGGCCATGATGATGTAGGTTTCTTGGTGGCCCTTTCATGGTGAACCAGGGCATTGCCTTGTGCCTCCAGAAATCACAGGAAATCCTGCCTTAGTAGTTTATTGATTACTACTAGAATCATGAAGATGCTCTTCAATCATTTAATTATATTTTCTTACTGAGTAATTCTCCCACTTTTAGTGAAAAGACGGAAARAAACACCATGCCCCACCCCATACGCATCTGTCATTCTTCCCTTACTCCATTCCTTACTAGGCACACAGCACAGTTCAAGGAAGATATGTCATTTAACGATGCACAGCTAGTAATAATGCTCATAGGAATGAAGTCCGTTATTTGGAGAGTACTGTATGTCAGGTACTATGCCAAATGCTTCAATACTTTATCCTATTTCATTGTATCAACAATCATGTAAGTAAGTTTACTCAAGGACAGAAAGTAGAAGGTTAGGATGCTAGCACCCATAATTTGAAAAATTTGTGATCTTAACTACTGTCCTATACTTTGGGTCTTGTATCCAGAGACTATTTCCTTTGGCCTTTTTCTTTTCTTTTTTTTTTTTTTTTTTTGCCTGACCCCAGAGCCCTATACCTTCCAGGCAAGTGTTTTGCCACAGAGCTGTATCCTCATACCTCTTTAAAAAAAATTTTTTTTTGAGACAGATCCTGCTAAATTACCTAGGGTGCCTCAAACTTGAAAACCTCCTATCTCAACCTCCTGAGTAGCTGGGATTATAGGCATGCCCAGTTCATCTTGCTTTTAAGGTACACTAACAGACCTGAAATATGTTACGTTGGGAACTCTAAATACCTGCAGCCAAGGTTTCTCATAAATGATAGTGACATAGATGAACTCTATGAACAAATGAATGTTGGTACCAGTTGTGAATGAATCAGATTGAGTTCATGAAGTCCTTAAATCACAAGGACACTACAGTACTGTGGAGATTTCACTGTAAACCAAGGTCTGACCTGGTTGTAATGAAGCCTATAAAATTCAAAGATATAATTTGGTCACCAATGCTGACTATCTCAATTGTATCTGAAACAAATGTACACATGTGTGTGTAAGTGTGCACATCACACACACACACACACACACACACACATACACACACACACACAGTCCTAAGTCCTGACTCCTTTGAAAAACCTTATTTTTCCTTTTTCTAAGTATCCCTTACATTTTTTTAAACCTCCTAATCAATACGAAGGACAATTCAAACCCAAACCTTTCCAAAAGGAACGTGTATAGTTTTGACTACACTGAACTAGCGCTCGTGACTATTTACCATTATCTTTGGATAACTCTATTTTCAACTGAAGCAATCTGCATACTCAATTTCCCAGGTAAACTGGTAGCTACAAAGAGCTTTCAATATGTTTTCAGAAAAGCTAAAACCTTAGCTCTTTTACAGAAATGATAAATTGTGTACTTATGGGTAAGATAGGATAGTTGGCAGAAATCCCTTAATAGCTTTTATGTAGGAGTCTTTACAAATTCTCATTGTTATATATTGGTATACGATGACAAGATTTTCAAACACACAATCTTTACGATGAGTAGTAATAATAAACCAAAAGAACCTTATTATCATTTTTAAAAACCCGACTAAATTGTAAAGAATAGGAAATCTCATGAACTTGGACGTTTAGAGACACAAATTGATTTCTTGGACACTTAACGACACAAACTGATTTAAGAAGCAAAGGTTTTGGGGAGCCCTAAGACAATAAAGCGATCAGCACCAAGACATCTGTCAGGGTGGAGGCGACGTGAGGTAAAGAACAGCTAAATCTCATGCAATCAGGAACTTAGGCCAGTTTAACTATTTTTTTTTTCTTATGAGGTGACAACCTCCTAACACCATAATCTCTCTTTTCAGGATGATGACGTAGGATTTAATGAGTAAAGGACAACAACTTAAAACCTCTCTATTGAGCACGAAGCGTCTATTTAGGTTAAAGGCAGGCATCGAAATCCCGTTAGCCACTGGCACAACTGGGAAAAGAAACACACACACACGTGTGTGTACACACGCCCATACACACACTTCAAAGCAAACCTTTCCACATCCAACAGTCTGTTTCTACTCAGATCCAAAAAAAAAAACAGAATGAAAGTGCAAGATACCCACACTTCTGCTAATGAAAGCAATAGAAATGTCTTCTCCCCAAGTGTCCCAACACAACCTGAAATGGAACACGTGGATACGGTGCCCTGGAGGAAATGGAGACSGAGAATACAGTTACAGGGGAGATTCTTTCTCCTGTATAGGAATATGCAATAAATGTTTTCAAAAAGAAAAAAAAAACCAAATAAATCCAGTTACCTTTGCATTTCTTCTCTTCCGTCTGGAAGGTCTGGGCACTTGAGATGCTCTGGTCGTTCACATCCTCATGGTCYAGGTGGAATATGGAGCTGGTCCAAGTGGCTTGGATGAGATGTGGTGACGCCTGTTCATTTTTCAGGGTGCTGCGCCTCTCTGAATGGCTCTTCCTGTGTAGGCAGCCTTCGGACATTCCTACTAGCTTCCAGTCCTCCTCCCGGTCTGGACAGTGCTTCGGTTTGTCCCAGGCTGGAAGGCCATTTTCTAGGGGGTTGAAAAACACGAGATGACAAGCTGTTGGCGGTGTGGAGGCTTTGCTGAGATTCGGAGTTCTGGAAGGCAAGCGGTTTCTCAGTTCTTTGGGGATGACCGTATTCACATGGACCTCCACTTGAAGGCAGTGACATGATGCGGAATTCGTCAGCCTTGGGCATCTAGCCACCATGGCTAGGTTGCCCGTCCGAGTAATGAACACTCCTGCTTATGCCCAGTGTCTAGGAGGACACGTGTTCCACCCTGGCACGGCTGTACTTTCACCCGTCCCCCTTCCACGGCAATGGCCCAAGAGGAAGTTTACACCCATTTATGTCACTGCTTACATGACCATTTGAGGTCTTGAGAATCAAATCAGGACTGGCCATGACCTTAGGTCAGATCCTCAGGACATAAAACATCCGGGACTCAGCCTTGTTTGACTTGGGTTTTATCACAGGCTGACCTGAGGGACACCTGGTTACTTAAATGAGAGGCACTCACGTGGCCACACTGAGAGTGACAACTCTGTTCTTGCCACCTTCTACCCGGATGGTTGGGGGAAGAAGGGAGGAGAAGGAGGAGGAGGAGGGAAAAAAAAAAAGAACTAGATCTTTCAAATATAAAAGTTTTGAAAATGATTTCAATCCAGTCCCAAATTGGCAATGAGATCAGGTGAAACGAAACAGTTAGTACTTTAGCTGTTGCCTAATAATAGAACGATGAGCCCAAAATCTCTTTGGCAGCTGTACCGGGGGGTTAATTATTTATGTGTATTATATATTTTTTTCCTATTCAATTTGTAGGGACTTGAGGGTCTGCCCTCTAGAAAATGGAAAAAGATAGGATAATATAATGAAGAATTTCTTATATTAATCTTCCCTGGTTGCAATTTTTCTCTTTTCATATCTTTATATGGATATAAAATACAGAGCAAAAAGAAATAAGCAAATATGTATATACATCTACGTACGTACACAGATATTTACATATATATATATATAATACATATTCAAAAGTACATATAAATCTGTATAGATTCAGTTATATGTATGTTATATATGTGTGTGTGTGTGTGTGTGTATACACACAGATATCTGTGGAGGGGTGTGAGTGTGTGTGTGTGTGTGTATGTATAAAATGCATATTTTAAAAATATAACCTATCTGGTCACCCAGATTTCTAGAAATTCTTAGGCTACTGTTTGTCAAAATTAGAAAAACTATAAAGAGTCTTCCTCTTAAAGTGGTCATACACGGTGATTGAAAGACTGTAATTCACTCATGAATTTTCTTTTATGCTAAAGTTACCAAAAGATCCTAGATGCCTGTATCCCTGGTGCTTTTAGAGATAAGTCCATCTGACCTGTGCTCAGACTAGGGAATTTTAACCTATCTTTCAAACATTTAAAAGGAATTCAAATTATTTAATAAAAGAGTAAAAAATGCTTAAGGTTTTCATAAGCACCATCTTTTAAAATTTTATTTATTTATTTTTTTATGTGGTGCTGAGGATCGAACCCAGTACCTTACAAGTGCAAGGCAAGAGCTGTAACACTGAGCTATAACCCCAGCCCCGCACCCTCTTTTTTTTTAAGGTATCTTTTTTTTTTTTTTTTTTAGATATAAATGACAGTAAGGTGTATTTTGACATATTATACCTACATGGAGTATAACTTTCCATTTTTGTGGTTGCATTGGAATAATACTCAGCCACAAAGATAAATGAAATTATGGCATTTGCTGGTAAATGGATGGAACTGGAGACTGTCATGCTAAGTGAAATAAGCACTCTCACTTAATGCCACTAGATATCTTCAGCCGAGGTTGATCAGGTTAGCTTCTCTAAAAGTATCAGCTCCTCCTAGTCACTTTTGAAAGTTGTATTGGTACTTCTGAATTTTCATGTTGCTCTGAAAAAGTTCTAATGCCCAGGTGCATTCTGCTTCTACACCAGGAGACATCCATGAACAACATCATCATCATGAACAACAACAAAGGCATAATCAGTGCCTGACTTTTTGGTTATAGTTAATGGAAATGCTATGGCTTGAAGTAGTTCATTTGGCTGGTAAGCAATGTCTTCTTTAAAAATGTCATACATCATGCTAACTGCTGGGTGTAATATTTAACCTTATTCAGAGAAGAGCTCTGAAAATTGACTTTAAGCAAAGGGCCGTGTGAGGCATAGTATCAGGTAAGTTAAATAAATATGGGAACTTTCTTCTCAGAGTTTATATGGTATCACTCATCACATGGTGAATCAAACAGGTCTGCATGCAGTTCTTCCCCTTTTCAACCAACTACTAGTGCAATTACTTATTCTCACTATCCACTAAAATGAAACAACAGATTGGGATCTTGGCAGACTGCATTGCATCTCAAGCCAAACACGTCTGTGTAGAACTCTTTCAAGCACCTATTATCCAGGAGGGTTTAAGGTTTTCATGAACTAAATATACAGTGACTGAATGCAAGGGTTAATTCTGGGCCTGAAGAAGATTAATTTTATTTCTACAGACATGCGGAAGCCTTCTCGCCCATGCATGCTTCTACAGTGCCAACTTTATTTTCAGAGACTCTAAATCCTTAGTGAATTGCACCCTGTAAAGCTTAATTTCAATAATGTTAAAATCCTCACATTATTCTGCAGAGTTCTGTCCTTTGATTTTTTTTTCTGCGATGATTCTTAAAATTTTGTACTAATGCCCCAGCTCCAACAAGAGATTAAGAGATCTGCTCCCTAGAGAAACTTTATGTGAAAGATGCTGAAAAGCACTGCACCCCAAGGGGGCGCTCTGCTTTATAGCACAGCCATTAAATCTTGCTCGGCATGACCCTCGGGCCAGCAAGGAGGAGTGTCTTCTAAGCCAGGGAGGCCACATTTGGGGTGAGGCGAGGGATAGGATTGCTTTCCACTTTCCTAAGAAAAGAGCTTAAGATGGTTTTGGGAAAAGAGCTGTATTCATGGGAGGAATTTACAAGCTCATAATTGCTGTCTGTAATTACATTCGCAATAATGATATTCAGTTGCTTCATTGGCAGGTTTATTGGTTGGGGTACTGCTGGGAAATGTGGAGACTGAGAAGTCCTGGTTGGGTCATGGGAAAACTTAACAGATTTATTTTAAAAGGATTCTTGATTCTTATCATCTCCAGAATGGGGACACATGCAATTCTTATTCCATTCCCAAGAAAGAATGAGACACCCTTTGCACAGGCCCCTTAAGTTCCACCTACTGGGTGTTTTGTTGATAAACTACAAGTTATGTCAACATATCTGTGTTGTATGTATGTATGTATGTATACCTACAACACAGATATGGGTGCATATGGATATTTACATACATATATGTATATAGACACATAGAAACATACACAAACGTAGGGAATAATGGTTTTCAGGAATTTTTTGCTATTACTATACTAAGTGCCCAATCTTTGGTTCCCTCAAAGTTCACTCCAGTAGGATATTTCTTTTCAGAGGGACCAGCATATCAAAAGCTAAGCCAGTGATTCTCAAACTTTGGTGTGCAGCAGAACACCTGAGGCACTATTAAACAACACCAGAGAGCTGAACTTTTGACTTGGGAGGATGGGGCCTGGGCATGTGTATTTCTGCTCAGTTCTKCAGGTGACTGTGACACCAATGGAGTTTGAGATCCACAGGGGTGAGATAAATTTAAGGCAAGAAAATACATTGGCAGATTTTAGATGGGTGTGCAGTCTCCACAGGCGCTAATGTTTTACATAGCCTCAGAGTAAATTTGCATTATCATTCAAAAAATTCTTTAATTGTTTGAGGGTCTTCTGAGTGACACATTAAAAGCCAGATTTTAACTGGATATTATTAAGCCCAATAAATCCATATATACTTATTCAAAAAGAGTGTTTGGAGCATTATCTGGGATAGCGAGCACATGGCACTAGAACTAATTTTTTTTTTTTTACTTGTTTTTAGTTGTGGTTGCACATTTATTTATTTTTATGTGGTGCTGAGGATGGAACCCAGTGCCTTGCACGTGGAAGACTAGTGCTCTTCCATTGAGCCACAACCTCAGCCTCTAGAAGTCATATTTTTAAAAAGGGGATTCTAGAAAGGATCATATCTTGTTATTCACATGAAGTGTGAACACTCTGCTCTTTAATTGAGCTCAGCTAACATCTGGCTTTTAACACTTCATATTCTAGACATCAAGATAATTAACCAATTTAATCCATCAGTTGTCATGCAAATTAATTTAAATAAATTAACTGGATAGGGGCATGTGAACTGCTACTAAAGTAACTAGGTACACATTAACTTGTGTGTCTCAGGGGAGCTTAGACATAAATGAGTGTGAGAACCATCACTTTAATGACTTTGAATGACAACACTGGTCTAAAGGGTCTTTTTTAAAAAAAGAAATAAACATAAATCTCATTAACATAATTGCCTGTATTGTATATCTCTGGAAATTTCACTAAAGATGATAGAAAATAAGTCTGTCCCTCAAAAAAGGAGAATTATATTAAAATATTCATGTATTTCAGGACATAATAGCAAGTTGATACTCTGGAAAAGAGCTAAAGTAAAGGAAATAGGATCATAATAAAATGACCAGAAGGATGAAAGCAGTAGGCTGGGATTTCACGGTGCTCATTATAAGCAGGTTCAGCTTGCATTAAAAGGCCAATTGAAGCCAACCATGGTGGCGCACACCTATAATCCCAGTGACTTGGGAGGCTGAGGTAGGAGGAGTGCAAGTTCAAAGCCAGCTTCAGCAACTTAATAAGGCCCTGAGCAACTTAGCGAGACTCTGTCTCAAAAAATAAAAAAGGGCTGGGGATGTGACTCAGTGGTTAAGTGCCTCTGGGATCAATCCTCAGCACACACACAAAAAGCCATTGATATTAGATACTGTGATCCCAGACCATATTAGGGGGACAGACACATAATACGCTTTGCAAACCCAGGGGACCTGTTGAATGATCATGATTTGGCATCAGACTATTCAGTATGACATCTCTAATT